TAACACATTTGGTACTTGATGGAAAAGTTACTACTGTAGTACTTTTGTAATAAAGAGTAACAGAAGAGAACTTTAAAATTTTTATTAAAATCTGCAGTGTTTTGTCTAACTTCAGGATGAAACATGACACATTCAGAACATTATCAGTGAAAACAAAATAAAAATATAAAGTAAAAAAAGACCAACTTCTATATTTTTTTAATGTTTCTTTAGCCTCTTGTGTCTGATGAATTGTTGAATGGTCGAATAGACCAGATGGGTGGGGGAATAAATAAATAAATAAATAAATAAATGGGATTTGTCCATGAAAGCTCATATTAAAAATATATATAAAAGTTAGTCTTTAAAGTGCCACCATGTTTTTGTCTTTTTCTTACTTTTTATTTTGTCTCCACCTATAAGGCTTGCACAGACTAATATGCCTATCCCTTCTACAACTATGTTTAAACAATGGCAGACAGATACAAAACACGGGTCTGAATTTAACTGCTAGTCACAGCTACGGCTGACCCACAGCAGCGACTGCTGAATGGTGATGAGCTACTTACGTAAATCCCACTGATTCAGTGGGTCTACTTGAATTGGCTGAATCACCAGCTGAATTTAGTCCATGGTGTTGCATTCTTTGCTAAAGCCATTCCTGGATGCTATTTGCAGACTGCATGAAGCATCATCATACCAACTGAAGATTAACCTGATTCTTAAACCTCACACAGGCAACTACAGATATCAGATGCTGAAAGGATAATCATGGTGGGCACATCCCACATCCAAGGCTACAGAATGACTCTCTTCTGTGACAGAAGTACTTTTCCACTGAGTCAGAGGTTTTATGCATAATTCACTGGGATCTTACAACAAGAGCCATAGTGTTTTGCAGTGGAAAGTCACACACAACTGGAATGTGGCAAACAATTCAATGAGATCAGAATTAGAAGTGGAAGACCTTGCTTAACAGGACTAGCAATTGGGGAGGAAATCCTGCTCCAACCAGATTCTCCCAGGAGTCTGGCCTGCAGAAAGCCATGCCTCAAAACTACCCAAGTGTTAGTTCAGCACAGTTTCTGGAAACTTTGTTTGATGATGCTTTTGCAAACCTCCATAGCATCAACTCCTGATTCATCCTACTTCTTTAAAAACAGCATTTTCTCTCACAGTCACATGAGGGTGCAGCAAAATAACATAAAATTCATTTGTCATGCTTCCCCTTCCCCCTCGTTTAAAGTTCTACAGTACTTCTGTGAGAAATGTGACCATAGTCATTTCATTTATCTATTAAGGAGACAAATCACAAAAGAACCCCCTTGAAAGTAAACATTTGTGCAATGGAGGAACGGAAAACTCCAAAACTATGGTGGCACCAAGCGAGGGAACAAGAACACAACGTATGAAAAGCTATAGACCCTGCTATATAGCTGGACCTCCTGCACATCAGTGTTCTCAGGGTCACATATTGTCATCTGCCCTGTAGGAAATGATCTGAAAGCTTGTTATATGTTGGGGGGGGGGGTTGGAATGTATTTTGGTGTTACTTCATGCAAGAAGTGACTGAAGTAGAGTTTACGTCGAAAGAGAGCTCCATGCAGGAATTCCAGGGAAAGGCCAAGACACAAAGGCCAGCAATAGCAATGGGCAGAGTTCTTTCTAAAGAGCAGAACATCTGAGCTCAAAGTGTTGAAGCAAAGATAAGGGAGAGCATTCAATTTAGCTCATGTTGTGTGAGGAACAGTTGTGTGAAAAAGAGTATTAGTAAAACAGAAGAGGAATCTAAATATGGACATTAAGCATTACACAATTTGAGCAACCAATTTAAGTGAATGATTTTAACAGCAGAATTCTAGAAAGAATGCAACACAGAAGTCAACAATACTATACACTTTTGTAAAAACATGGAAGACAGTGAGGTTTTCTTAGCTTACAGCAAGGCTACTTTGAATCTACACAGAAGAAATTTTATTCTTATTTAGTACATTTAGGTTGTATTGGCCAGCCCCTATCTTATAAGAACTACTAGCTCTCTGATGCAGAAGCTGCTTCTTTTATTATTGCAAAACAAGTTACTACCTTCCCTCCATGATTTTGCACATATGTGTGTGCACATGAGAAGTGTCAGAGAAAAAAAAAGATTTCTGTGACAAAGCTCAGAATACAGGAGTGCAAGGCAATTGGAAAATGCAAAGTAAATTGAGCCAATAAACCTGATTGTTAGGAGCCTCGTGGCGCAGTGGTTAAACCACTGTACTGCAGCTAAAACTGTGCTCACGACCTGGGGTTCAATCCCAGGTAGCTGGCTCAAGGTTGACTCAGCCTTCTATCCTTCCGAGGTCGGTAAAATGAGTACCCAGCTCGCTGGGGGGGGCAATGTGTAGCCTGCATAATTAAATTGTAAACCACCCAGAGAGTGCTTGAAGCGCTATGGGGCGGTATATAAGCAGCACGCTTTGCTTTTCTTTGCTTTGCTTTTGCTTTTCTTTCTTTCTTTCTTTCTTTCAATTTGTATCCCACTCCCATTAGTGTCACAGCACTACTCTGGGTGGGTTACAAAAATGAAACAAAAATGAAAATAGAAATATTAAAACATTAACAAAAACCCTAAAAAAACTAGATGGCACCAATTAATCTCAGATGAAGGAAAAGATGGGAGGGAAGAAGAGGAAGGGAAAGAAAAAAAGAGGAGGAAGTGGTCAGCTGAAATCGGTGTGGAAAGCCTCCCTGGAAAGCAATGTCTTAATTGCTTTCTAAATGTCCACAGGGAAGGGGCTAGGCAGAGCTCCTCCAGAAGCTGGTTCCATAAAGTTGGAGCCACTACGAAGAAGGTCCTACCTTACCTCTGGAAGCTGGTTCCATAAAGTTGGAACGAAGAAGGTCCTACCTCATGTAGAGGATTTATGGGCTTCCCTCCGGGTGGCCACCCAGGGGAGCCTTGACTGGGATGACCTTGTGGGTCGGGCAGACATTAAGAACGACGCTCCGACAAGTAACATGGGCCCAAACGGTGGAGGGTTTTGTATTTGAATGTCAAAACCTTGAACCTGATCCAAGATACTACAGGCAACCAGTGGAGGTGAGCCAGAACTGATGTGGTCAAATTTACTTGCACCAACCACCAGTCTGGCTGCCCCATTCTGGACCCACTGAAGTGTCCGGATCAGGTTCAAGAGGAGGCCCACTTAGAGGGCATTGCAGTAGTTGATCTGGGAGATTACCAGGGCCTGCACCAAAGTTCTGAGGGAGTCCTCGTCTAGGTAGGGACGAAGTTGGGCAATTAGCCTAAGCTGGTTGAAGGCTGATCTGGACACAACTGCAATCTGGGACTCCCAAGAGAGAGCCGGGCCCAGAAGAACACCCAAATTACACACTTTGTCCCTAAAATGGAGGGGAGTACCATCCAGCCTAGGGACTATCTCCCCTAACTGATCAGAGCCCCCACCCGGGAGCAAAATCTCTGTTTTGTCTGGGTTCAGTTTGAGCCTACTAGCCCTATATTCCAGTATTGTAATCAGGCAACGCTCCAGCTTCTGGACGGCGTCCACTAGAGGTGGTAGGCCTATTTAGTTACAAAGTCTGGGTTCAGTTTGAGCCTGTTAGCCCTATATTCCAGTATTGCAATCAGGCAATGCTCCAGCTTCTGGACAGCGTCCACTAGAGATGGTAGGCCTATTTAGTTACAAGGAGAAGCTACTTATTAGAAATATTTGTTTAAATTTTAGAGTACTCATCTACAACCAAGATTCCGTTTTTCTTCTCAAGAAAAAGGGAAGCAGTGTCAGAAACACTCGGGCCTGTCAGAAAGCTCATTTTAGTACAAGCTGTACTTCTAGAGACAGGAAAGAACTACCGTCATGAACATGTTTACATATTGTCATCCAATTCTACATTAGGAAATCTGCTTGGCACCACATCACAATCCAAAACAGCAAAAGGCTTAGCTAAGAATGGCCTCCCTGGAGAAGGTCACATTGCCCATCCAGCACAGCATTGCCTTTGTAGCCAAGGCAGATGGAAGCTTCTGGGAAGAGCACAAGCCGTACAAAAGGCAGCATTCCTTCACTACTAGCTGTTTCTCCACAACTTGCATTGAAGATATACTATCACCAAAATGAGAACATTCAGTTAACCCATCATTCATTTGAACAGCCAGTGAAAAAGATTTCTCTTTCAATAATCAGTCACAACCTCCATTTTTAAAATCCTCAACCACCACATATTGATGTTTAACTAGGCATTCTGTTGAATTTGACATTTAAACGTCATGATACTAATTTCTAGCGGGGAGGGAGAATATCTGTTCATTCTCACTACATTATCTAGCACACTTCTGGTCACCCTTTTTCCTAAAATCTGCTGCCCTTTTCTTCTGCTTTCATACCTCTGAGATACCCACATTTTGAAACATAGCAACCCAATCTATACAAAGCATACCAAGTAAAACTTCATGATGAATTCACATAAATGCCTTATTATCATGTTCAAAGAGTCTTTGTTGGTTTTTTCTAGAGCAGGCTATCAAGGTTACTCCCTCACCTCCAAGTTTTCCTAATAATTCTCCTAATAATTCCAGTCACAGCAAACTAGGGTGTTTCTAGTGAAATATTAGCCATTAAGCCAAGAAATCAATGGCACAATTAGCTCTACATTGTACTGTGTGCATTATAACTAGATACTGTATGCAGTTCCATTGGAAAGCATAAGAAAGGGCCTTGCTAAGCATTACACAGGCCTCCACAAGCAGGGCCAGCTCATCTCCACAACTTCTACACAAAGCCTTACAGATAGTCTTAAAACCAAGCAATATGCCAACCTTCTGTGCTCACGGCTGAATGTGAGAAGATGGTTTAGGTGGCAGCCAAAAGGAACTGCAGTGGGCACTTTCCCACCAGACGCCACCAGACATGTACACTGAAATACTGACACACACATTTTCAGAGAAACACACAAGCCATGGCATGCAGAAGAAATACATTGATTAGTGAAATGCAAAGGAAGTGAAAGCAGGTTACCTGAAGGTTTACTCAGCTTTGATGGAAACAAAGGAGGGGGTTCCTCCTTTTCTTTAACAGAAGCAAATCCTCTCTCAGCTTCCTTTCCTACACTGACTAACTTTTGCTCCGTGGGCAAAGGAGAAACATCAGCTGAGGGCAAAGGCTCCTTCCTTGCTTCAGGCATTTCTTTATCTGGCTTTTCAGAGACAGCCCCAGAAGCAAGATCTTGCTCTTCAGTTTTGACATGTACATTCTTTAAAGACAGATCCTGGGCAACCTCTTGGTAAGGAGACTGTCTCTCTTCAGCTTTGACAACACTATCACCAGGCTCTCTGACTTTACTGTTCCCTAATGTGACTTTTTCTGTAGCTCCTGCCACCACCTTAGCAGCTTGATAAGGGACTGTGGGGAGGTCTTCAGTCTCTGGAGAGGATTCTATGGACACCACCATTTTATCCACCTCTTTGAGCTCCTTAGAAACAGAGAAATCATCTGCATAAGTATCTACTTCTTCCATTTGTAGCTGAGGAATCTTCTCTTTCTTAGGCAGGTCTGCAGCCTCTGCTTCCAGAAACCAAGAAGTGGGTTCGTTTTTGGATGGTTCCAACGGAGGCTGGAAGGATTCCAAGTAGGGCTTGCTAAGGGAAGGAGATACCTCTTCCTGAACTCCTTTTGGTGCAATCTTGGCAGTAGCTTCAAGTGGTTTCTCTTGCACAGCTTCTTCTTCCTTCTCACCAAAACCAAATCCTGGCTGGCTGCTCACTGTGTCACTAATTCCAGAGGGCAGTGATGCCTTCTCGGTACGTTCGGTATACTCAGGCACAGGATGTGGAACAAATTCTGGAATCACCATCTTGGAGTAATCTGTAAAGGCTGGTGAAGCACATTCATCAGAGCCCTTCGTTTCTTTAACTAAGTCACATGCAATGGATATATAAGATGTCTCCGAGTTTTCTAAAGGTGCATCATTCTTAGAGTCAGGTTTCTTGCTAACAGCTTCAACCTTCATTTCTGGTGGCTGGTTTCCTGATACATTCATGGCCTCCTGGTAGGTTGGTGGCTTTTCAGACTTCTGCAGTACACTGTCATAGTCATTCTCATAGTCACCGGTAGCTGTCAGAGTTTCCAACGGGGAGGTTTCAATTTGCTCAGATGGACCACCCACTCCAGCAGGGCTAGCGTTCAGTGGTGCTTCCATAACAATATCTGGCAAGACTGGGGATGGGGCTGTTTCAGGTCCTCCTTCAAAGGGAGGACAGAGCTGTCCAGTAACATTCAAAGGCTCCTGGGATGACTCAGATGTCTGAACCAAATCAATCTTGCTTTCATAAGCAAGTTTGGGGCTAACCACATCATGAAGCTCACTCTCATATGCTTCTTGCACAATATCTGGAGTCAGACCTTCAGATATATTCGCCATTGCATCAGCAGTCTCCTTCAGCAGATTCTCTGCTTTATCAGACTCAGCTTTCCGGCCCTGACTGCTTGCCAACTCAATCTGGGCACTGCTCGGTTCTGTGCCAAAATGAGCCTTCATTTCTGCTATCTTTTTCTCGTCCGTTTTATTTTCAGAAGCCTGTTCTTGTATCAGAGGGAGAGACTTGGCTGTGATGCCCTCACTTGTCACATCCGATTCAAACTTGGCGCAAGCAATATAAGCCTCTTTTGAGGCATCTGGAGTGCTAGGGGAAGAAATTTCTTCATTGCTGCTTTCATTCTCCTTTTCAAAATATTTCTGTGCAGGCAGAGTCTTCATCTTCTCAGCATCATCCTTACTAATTTCACTTCCTGATTTTTCATCTACCTTATTGCTAGAAATATCCTTCAATATGCTCATCTCATTACTGGCCCATGAGGAGTCAAAGGGTTTGAAATCCACATAATCATCCTTCACAGCATGGTCTACGAGAGACACTTTGGGGTCAAGGTCTTCAAAATCAAGCTTCTCTTCAAGAGATGCATCATTATCACGTTTCACAAATAATTCTACCGGAGAGTCTGGGGAAGAGTCTAGCTGGTAGGGAGAGAATTTCTGTGTGTCAGTCTTTTCTGTAGTGTCCACTGGCTCCTTGATTTCAGATAAAAAGAATGGTTCTGCCCCAGGTGGCAACACTCCTGAATGCTTTTGTTCTGGAACTTCTCCACCATCATCCCCTACAAGGAATGGGTTTTGTGCATTTTTGGTGGTTGGTTTAAACGCCTCACTTCCAATCTGATCGTAACTGCCTTTTGCAGGAAGTCCATCTGATACAGCATCAAGGCCTGTATAGGCTTTAAAGGGGTTGGCTGAGAGAGGAGAGAGGGAAGGAAGAGAAGCAGTAGCATCAAGCAGGACAGCACTGAAATCTTCTTGGCCAGCTGAGCACGGACGACCCAGTGGTTCTTGCAAGTCCATACCTTTGTCTGTGGCCGTGGACAGAAAGGACAGTTAGCGAGAGTACAAGTGGTCTGAAAGTTAAGGCATGTTTTAATGACAAGTTTCAAAACTGTAGCTTCATAATCAATTCTTACTGCTAGAAACATCAGCTGGAAAAGCATGCTCTATTAAATAAGCAGAAGAGCCCAAATGTTAATAAAGCAGCAAAACATGCAATCCAGTAAGAAAAATTAAGATCCCAGAACAATGAAAGAGCAGAAGGTTTATAAATGAAACCTAAAGGATGGTTCTCGTTGTCCTATTGCCACTTCCATTAAAAAAATTACAATGGCCCAGTGAAGACACAATATTGATTTCTTCTTCGTGGTTAAGTCTGAAGAAGGGTCTGTATGGGAGCACTCTCTTTCCCTCTCTAAACACTGCTATTATGTGTGCACCAACACTAGCTATGTTTAATAGTAAGTTGGTTCTCTCCTAACCACCATTTGCAAATCAGGAACAATTTCTGGTTATAATGAATATCTTGTTTAGCATTAATTGTAGTTGGATAGTTCCAGTGCACATATAAAAATATGCTCCAATTAATGGAAATTCATACTGAGTAGAGAAGGAAGAAGCCTGCAGCTAGTCTATTAACTGATTGTTAAAAAGACTGACAATGCTACATCGGTACTGAACCATCATAAAATATCTGACATTACAGTAAAATATATCAACTTTAATACGTAGTTCATTAATTGTGGAGGAGTAAAGCCAGCTCTACTATCAATGAGTAGAGAAGGAAGAAGCCTGCAGCTAGTCTATTAACTATTGTTAAAAAGACTGACAATGCTACATTGGTATTGAACCATCATAAAATACCTGACAATACAGTAAAATATATCAACTTTAATAGTTCATTAATTGTGCAGGAGTAAAGCCAGCTCTACTGTCAACAAAAGCAACTATGCTGAAAACAGTTAATCTGTTAATACTAACTAGGAAGAAGCCTGCAGCTAGTCTATTAACTATTGTTAAAAAGACTGACAATGCTACATTGGTATTGAACCATCATAAAATACCTGACAATACAGTAAAATATATCAACTTTAATAGTTCATTAATTGTGCAGGAGTAAAGCCAGCTCTACTGTCAACAAAAGCAACTATGCTGAAAACAGTTAATCTGTTAATACTAACTATAAGATTTCTGAGAGAGAAGGGTCCAAGAATTTACAGGCAGCTGCGCTTTAATTATAGAACAGATACTGCCCGAGTCTGAATTTTGAAACATTTTATTAATGCTTATATTCTCTAAATATAGAAGACTCTGCATTCTTGGATCCATGCCGTATTTTAGTAAATATCTCTAGAAACTATTAGCAGGAGGGAAAACACGCATATAACATGAGGCATACTCTAATGCGAAAGGCTAGCTGAAGTAACTTGCCTGCAGAAGAGTGCATCAGAGGTTCAGATGCAACAGGAAGAGCAAAAAGGGTCTCATCTGAAAAACAAATACAGTATTGACCTCAGCAGAAATAAATGTAGAAAAGGAAGTTTTTAAAAAGGGGAGGAAAGGAAAATTATTTTAAAAAATCTAGTAGACAGTCTTCTTAACAGTCTTAACAAGGAGTTTTAAAGCAGAGGAAACAAGTGGCTTTGCATGCAAGAGGATTTTACTTTGTTGTGAGGTTTCTGCTTAAAAAAAAGTTTCCCATTATCTCAGATACTACTCTAAATTGTGCTGTTTATACCAGAGGGACACAGAGGCATGTTGACACAATTTATCAGTCAAATTTAAAACATCCCAAGGTGTTTCAGTCACCACATCCTTATTTACAATCTTTTCTAGGTCATTCAGGGTTCACTAAAACACTCCACCCTGCATTCCAGCTAAGCAGCTATGAGTTACATGGTCAAGTACATGTGTACTGTATATATTTTACTCAGTCCCAGAAACCCAAGGTCAGCCAGGCCAGACTGTACTCTCATTTTTGTGAGGGGGAAAACAAAACAAAGTTGTCCTGTCATGCTTCACGGCGTTCTTTGCTTGTATCCATGTACTTAATTATCTGAAACCTACTGATTATATAATCAGAAGTAGTGTCAACCGTTGCAGCAGCGAGTTGCTGATCTTGACCCTTCTCTAGGACAAAAAGAATGTGTTCTGTTGTGTTTCGAGCAACCAAGAATTTGGTACTTCTCTATGTGGAATGCTCTCTCAGAAACCCCCAGTCCAAGAGTAATCATCATCATCATCATCATTTTAGAACTGTAGAGTTGGAAGGGACCCTATAGATCTTCAGAACCTGTCAAGGAGGCGGGGGGCGGGGAATCAAACTTCCAACCTTTGGATTTACAGTCAGATGCCCAAACCAATAAGCTATCCAGCAGTTCTTCCTTGTACAAAGGAAGGGGCAGATAGTAGGAAGGGGCAGATCACAATAATAAATAGAGATATTGAGCTACATATATTGTGAGCCAATGAAAAAGTTAAAAACCATCAGTAAGCTTTGTACGCCTCCTTTTGAGCTTAGCAAAACACAAACACACACACACACACACACACACACACACACACGCGCGGCCCATGCTGTAATTTCAGAAACGCAGAAAATGTGGTTTCAGAAAAAGAAAACAATTTCCCTTTTCATTCATAAGATTGCATTATGAGACTATGGTATATGGAGAGAAGGGACATGATACACATTTATTCTGAGCCTCCAAAGATGCTACCTGCCCCTTGCCCCAGGGGAAAACTTTAACAACCCCAACTTTTAACTGCTCTTGTCCCCCTTCATCCCTTGAATTTATAAATATAAATGTTAAAGAACTTCATCTCTCTGGAAGAAGACATGAAGTGCTAAGCTAAATGCTGCAATAGTAAAAGATCTTACTAAGCATTCAAAACTGTATTGTTCTAAGTGCTACATAAGAAAGGTTAATCCATCAAGGTGGATAGAAATCAATACTGCTGATCTGAAATCTCTAGCTCACAGATGAGTCTTTCTCCATAACAAACCAACTCACTAACACCACTGTAATTAATCTAATATAAATAATTCCTTTTACCTCTGTGCTGGTTAATAATGCAGTAACAGTGCTAAATATTTGAAAACAGAAAAGTTTCAATTTAGCCATTAACCTGCAATCATATTTTATTCACCATCTACTTCATACCAAGCAACTGTTTGAAGAGTACAATGTCAGTTGAATAATCAACATAGCCTTCCCACCTGATCAAAGAGAAAGTATGATGGAAAAGACACCTGCACGAGAGAGATAACAGCTTTCTTATAAGACTTGATCTTGTCACAGAAGTTCGAACAAGTCAAACCATGTTTAACATGACTCCAGAACTGGACTGTATGTGTCACCGCTGAAGTTCAGTAGTGGCAACAAAGCAAAAATACACAAAAGCCTACACTTTTAAGTCTAGGTGTTTTCCCCCTCCTGCTGAAAATCCAAGAGCCTCTTTCCACCATTATGCTCTTCAGTGCCATGCTACAGTGTTATAGCACTTGTGTATCCTTGCCCAAAGTCAATCCAGGCTAACTTCCCTTGGGAGGAAGTTTCATAATCAAGGTGCTGCTACAATTAAAGCTCTGTCTCATGTACCCACAAACCAAGCTTCTTAGGTTGGAGAGGTCAGGAAGGGAGCCACTGCTAAGCATTGAGCATCCAGGCTGCTACATACAGGAGTGCCTCAAAAGCAGCACCTTAACTTAAACTCAGAAGCAAACTAGAAGCTGGTGCAATTAATTTAATATCAATGTTACACAGTCTCTGAAGAACACAATCTGATATCTTACACTTAGTGGTAGGTAAGAGACAAGCAAAGTATGGTCCAGAGGCAGCAGCCACTGCTAAGCATTGAGCATCCAGGCTGCTACATACAGGAGTGCCTCAAAAGCAGCACCTTAACTTAAACTCAGAAGCAAACTAGAAGCTGGTGCAATTAATTTAATATCAATGTTACACAGTCTCTGAAGAACACAATCTGATATCTTACACTTAGTGGTAGGTAAGAGACAAGCAAAGTATGGTCCAGAGGCAGCAGGAAACCCTTCCCAACACTAATTCTGCAGACCACCAATGGCCACATGCCCCCCAATCTAAAAAAAGCCATTTTGCATTTCCAGAAGCAGTTATTTTAAAATAAAACACAATGCAGCCCATCTAGCCCTATAAACAAGTCTACAACTCACAAAAAATTAAACCAGTCAGGCACTTCCAGAAACATTTGCCTTTTCTTTTTTTTGTTATTAATTTACTTACAATTTTGATTTTTGTGGGGGTCATTTTCAGAGTTCATGCAGTCCCCAGATCTGGAAAACTGGTTCTCTAAGCCTTGACGATTATAACAAGTAAGAAAGATAGCTTTTATTAGTGATACATTCATGGACACCCTTTGAAGTGCAGAGGAATGTACCAACAGTTCCACAGTCCAATGACAATTTTACCACTTTATTCTCCAAGGATTTAAGCTGCTATTTTTATTGCTGCTTATGCTGGATTGACCGCTCTCCTGCTACTTGTGCGCTGCTTCATCATGTGTTATTGTTTCATCCTTGCAAGCCACTTCGGATATTTTTAAGAATGTGCGAAGTTATATCGCTATCACCTCACAATAGATTCTGACCTTGAATTCTCAGCAGGAATGTTTTGTAGTATCTGCTTTACTAGCACTCAGCTATTTTATGCAGGGATCTTCATTCAATTTCACAAGCATTTAATGCAAAATGGCCTTGGCCTTTGATTTCTGAAAGTATTAACCTACATAAAAGGGTCAAATTGCAATGTTGCTCATGCTGCCAAGTTAAGCATCTGAGAAGTAAGGAATGCTAGCTTTCCTCTGTATGCTTACTCAACGAAGCAAAGATCTGGTGCAGGGAAAGCAGAGATGTGCATTGAGAAACTGAGAGGTCATGGTACATTTGCACAAGAAGCAGAAGGAAATGCTGCTGAAGACAAGGCCAGGTCAAAAACACTTTAACGTATTATGTTCTGAAGGCATTACTATACCATTACCTTTGAAAGTGTGCTCTCTTTCAAGATAGTTTCCTCTCACAAGGGTGAAGGGCCCTCACCTTCCTCCTACTCCACTTCCTTGAGCCTCTGAGCATTTGAGACTGAGTCCTGAGTTCCAGGCTCAGGGAGGGGGGGAGGATGAAGCAAGGACTCCATGACTTGGTCTTGGGCCCAAGACTCAGACTTGGACCAAATGACTTGCCAACATCCCTGGCTAGTGGTGAAGGTTTCTGAGAATTTTAGTCTAATAACACTGGGGGATCCAAGATTAGGGATCACTGCACTCGAGCAAACACTGGTACAGACATTG